AACTAATCCTTCAACAATCTCGCGAAGAAGCCTCTACATTCTCTGTTGGTCCTTCTACTATTCCTCCTCCATAGCATTCCCTAGAGTACTCTTTTCACAACACTCCATCTGTGTATACAAAGTTTGCAGAGTACACTTTAAATCAGATTTCTCGTCTAAAAGGAAAGACGTTTCTAGTTATTTTTACACATTTTCAACAACATCATGAACAATTCCCACTAATATATACCACGTGAGACAACAAGCTTACAAACTGTATATGTGATACTGCAATATTTCTTTTCAAAATGTGTTCAGTAGACTCGGTGTGATTATTGAATTGATTCTGTGTTGGAACCTTGTCTACGCTAGAGCTTTTATCGTTGTCAACATGCTTGGAATCATTCGTGTTTCCATTGGTCCATGAGCCCTCATCCAAAACTCTCGAGCGTACGCTGGGAGCTTTATTGTCAAATGTGGTTTTAGGAACAAGATGCCATGCTGAGTACAATCATTTGGTCATCATTGTTCTGTGACGAAACTCGTGAGCGTGCTCTGGGGTACAAATCTATACCTGCGCACAAATCTAATTCAACAGAAAAATTACATCAAATGGAGTCTCTTGAATTACAATTCCCCCAAAAATAACTTATTGATAACATTACTTTATTAGTTATTTTTGGCTAAATAAAACACTTCCTCAGTTATTTTTGGCTAACTAGACAACAAAAAAATTGGAGCTCTATCGTATCAAACGCAATGCTTTGTTGCTCTTTGATTCTTATTTTTAAATCATACACAGAGTTGTCAAAAATATACATTTTTTTTGTCAGAAAAATTTATTAAGTGTGGAGTGACACAATTAAGATTCTATTTTTAGGGCCATTGATTTTTTTACTATACATCAAGGATTTGTGTCAATGCCTATTAAAAACAAAAATTCGATTTTTTTGGAGATATTGGTACTGACGACTCCATACTCGTTTGGCAATTTCCGTGCAATCTGATTTCGAAAACCTTAGAAAATGGCTGATTTCTTATAAGCCATTTAAGATGAGTTTATTTAATTGACTGAAAAGAAATGTAATAATATAATTCGAATCTTAAAGTAAATGTTAAATGATTGAACAACATCGTGTCGAAAGAATACGTGAGTTTAATACTTTCATGGTTCCACTTGGCAAAAATTTATTGTGGAAATGCATAGCACTGATATTTGCAAAAAAGTCACATCAACGACTTCTGCTATAAAGAGGTTACAAGGTTTTGATGATAAACAATTCTGTCTAAACTCTATAAACAATTCAGTCTATACGACGCTATAGTTTGCCCTTACTTTTGATTGCTGTAAAGAATTATGGGATGTGTTCATTAAAATAAAATCGTTTAGACTTAAGAATTAAAAAATAAATGTGTCGAATTATCATGAATATGAGCAAGGCTAAAATTATGTACAAGTTGCTGAATTATGCGGCACTCAGCCAATCTAATTTTTTTACTATTAAAGATGAGACAACTACCTATATAATCTATGGAATATTGCAGCTGTCTTTGTCTACCACAATCACGATATAAAAAAGTCCTATGTATGATGATCTCTACTCAATGAAGTTAGAGAGAGAAATCTCTTACTTTGTGTGGCTAATAATGGATTTCTCTCTAACGTAAAATTGTCCGGATAAATTTTGTAGTGGTAGCTTCTCCCATCTTCTCGTATTCCTCATGTAATCCTATGATCTTAAATCTTGGCTGGATCGATTTTTTGGAATGACAAGAGAAACCTTGCTCCCTTACCAATTTACTTTCTTGCAAGCAAATCGTGTCTATTCATCAATACATTGCTTATATTAGAATTCACACAGTACTGGAATTCACGCACTATTAAAGGCGCCATATTTAATTCTGCACCAAATAATTTCCAGGCAAAATGATTTCAGAGTAATGATTAACGATAATGTGCTGCAATATGCTACTACAAATGATGTGAATACTTTAATTGTTATGTTAGTTTTTCTGTATTGATAAAAGTAGTACTTTTCTTTATATCAAACACAGGAAACTTAAATGTATACGTAAACACCTTTATTAATTAATCTTTATTTTAAAGTATAACTAAGAATTAAAAATTAAATAATCAGTTTATTGCGATATTAATTAAATTCACAAGAAAAGTGAGTATATGTTTGTAAATGATGATCGTCCAGGTTAATAAAGTCCTGAGAAGGACTGTTTTTGATGTTGTTGACTGACGTTTCGACAACCTTAGCGGTAGTCATCAGATGAGAAAAAGTATATTTTGTTGTCTGGTTCTTACGTCAATGTATTGTGTACAGGAAATGTGCAGGAAATGTGTATTGTCATTGTGGATTAGTGTGAAGTGAAATATTTTATTTTAGTTGTGATGTGATTTAGACAACAAATACGGCTAACCTGACGTTTACTCCTCATTTGACTCTGAAGATGACTACTTAATTAAAACGTCAGTCAAAACATCAAACAGTTTATTTTTAATATCAATTAAATTCAAACATATAAAATTTACTTTAAAAGTGAGTATGTATAATACAACTGAGTCAGGAAAAATATTTTTAATTGCATTCAAATAAAAGAAGATTTTTAAAAACGATAGCTTTGATTTCTTCCGGGCTACTAACATTTTACTGACTGTTTTTGCAGTTAAAAACTGTTTATTGATTTGGCTTTCTTTCACTTAAATTGAAGAAGCTCTTGAGTTTGGGAATGTTTTTATTTCGTCATTTGATCTGACAGCAGCATTCACCCGAACAGGGAGATTGTGGAATGTTTTGAGGAAATACGCCTTGTGATCACCAATCTTATAAAATGGTTCTGGTTGTCGCCTTGGCCGTGGTTGATCGTACCAATGTTGGCCAATATTTCGAGTAAGCCTCAAGCATTCTGTCCATGAAGGCTTATAACTATAAACCTTTTCATTTACCAAATAATCATATATATCACTATCCATTTGACTTTTCCAATCTGAGGAATAACAATTTAATTGTTCAACGACATTTGAATGGAATCATTTATCTTAATCGACTGACAGTTACCTACTTTACAAAACATTTTAAACTTCTCATCATTCGACATAAGAAACGGTTGTTTCATCGTCTCTTTGGCATATGGTCCATCTAAGGGTCGTAGATTTGAAATCCACGACAAAAGCTCCTTCAATGCCTCATTTTTGATGTCGTTCAAGCCTACAGGTTTTCCATTCAACGTGTTGATTTGTCTATGTAGTGTAGTTCGAAAGGGATGTTTCCTTTTGTTGCAACATAATACATTACCATTCCTGAATTCTAAAAAACAAACGTGATAACAACAACATAATTTCATATGTCTTAGAACCATTCTTCAATTTTCGACTAATGCCAAAGTCATCAATCAGAAATTTGCCTTGGTAACCTCTGTGCAATATTTCTCTGTAAAGACCTCACTCTCGGTTATTAAGATCTTGATAATTTAGTTATTACGTGTTTACGTATTTCAGTGTTTTATAAATTACTTTAATGTACTTTATACTTTTTCTGCAAATTTTATTTCACATGCCCTTGGTGAAAATTAACATAACTCGATGTGGTAAACGTGTTCAATGAATATTTCATTCTATGTAAATTTACAGAATTTAAAGAAAAGAAGTCCAGTATTCCAAGCCAACCGCGTGGTATAATTATAATGAATCAACCAAAAATGCTCTGGTATACGAATAATTGTCAATTGAAGCTAGTTATCGAATTTACTCAAGTGTTATGAATTAGCCAACATAGATTCAAGTGCACATGTTTACGAGATATAACCAATAGAAGTCCAGTTTTTAAACATTACTGCTGTGATAGAACGCCCAACGGACGATAGTTATTAAATGTCTTTCTCAAGTACAGTAAGAATAAATATACTTCAACTCTTTTTTTAAACAAGAAGGTATGTTGAGTTTCTCAACGTTATTATAAGAGACAAACGCTTTGATTTTGAGTAAGCACAATGTTTGTAAATCGTAGACAACAGGTAACTTCCAGAAAAAAACGCGAGAATGAACACCTGTGACTGAAGCAACTTGACACAAATTACCAAAGAACGAGGTCAGACATTCAACGTTCGGACACTGTCGATCAGGTTCATCAACGCAATCCAACGTATAACAAATTTCACCAGAACGTGAGCCAATAATGAATGTCTTAACAATGTAATCAATCGGACAAGCTATGGTAACAGCAATACGTTTTCCGTCAGGAGAATAACTGATATCATTAAGCAAAGCAAAGTAATTGTGATGTTTTGGGTGAACAGCCAACCTTTTTCGGTGGGCTAATTGGAAATTTTCAGAATTGTCAGAAAGATTTAAAACGCGCCACACACAAAACAGCCCGTAACGATCACATATTGCAAATTCCCCACGGCCAAATGCAGGATTGTAGCAGCATTTTTTAACTGCTGTATAATAATCGTAAACACGAACACGTTGTAGTAGTTTTAAACTGTCAGCGTCAAAATAGAACAGTTCACCATCAGTGCTTCCTGCCAAAAGACGGCTGCCATCAGGAGACAGAGCCAAGCAATTAAAGCCATCAGCACGATACTCCGCCCGCAAATCTAAATAATCTTCAACAGCACTTTCATTCCCACTTTCACGTCTTTCTTTTGACACTTGCTCGTCACGCTCATTTGCCTCAAGATCCGCATTAAGAATAGGGCAACCTATTTGAATGCAATCAACTCCATTAATTTCAACTTTAAGATCAATCCATTGGTCGGGTCCGTCTTTTATAGATTCTTCTAAGTTCCACAAACCGTCTGGCAGTTTATAAACACGGCACCAAAACGATCCAAGTCATGGGGAAACCAGGATTCAAAAGAATAGTGACGGCAATTCTCTTTCCATCTGGGAAGAACTTAATTTGAGAAGTGTGAGCATGAAAACAGTTTATGCAATATACCGGTTTAGGTAACTTGCCGACCTCAATATCTGGGATGGCAAAATAATCAAAACAAAATTGATAATATTATATCTGTGACGATGATTGAGTGTTGCACTTGCAGCGATTAAAGAACCGTCCCAAGATACGGCCCATTTTGTATCTGGGTTAAAAGCCAACAAACAATTTTTCGAGTTCTTTTCAAATTTTATATCCATGAATTTCTTCACATCAGATTTAAAATCTTCACTTATAAGTCCTAGTGCATCGCTCCTGTAACTGTACAAGAAACTTTTCAAGGATGAAAAATAACACAAACAGCGTATAGCCATATTTGTTTCAATGTTGACGACATGCGATGGCAAAATACCGTCTAATTTCTAAATAAAAAAAGAGATTTTTTAATCTTAATGGGAAAAGCTCACCAGAAGATCAATATTTCAAATATTTCATAGTTTATACCTCGCTCATACATATCTCATATTCAGGAAAGTTCGGAGCTGACGAACGTTCAGATTCATCATCAGTGGAATCGGAAGACATCTAACAACTCTCTTTGCTTCCTCGAACAAGCCCTTTTTATAAGAAAACCTAAAAAAATCGATTATATTTCGAAGTTGCTTTCATTCGCCTCTGGGAAGCATGATTTTGTTTGTATCCCTTGTATTGCTTGTAAAATAACATCTTTAGGGGTAATGCATTCATGTGTATCTCGACTCTATAGATTCGATCTGCATAAGATATTCCTATAGACTAACATACGAAAGAGTTGTGGCAGAGGAAGTATAATTGCCTAGTGTCCACTATTTTTGTTTTGAAACCAGCAAATGTCTGGCAAATATAGAGAATTGAATGGTGAAAAAAACAAATTTTCCGTTTTGTTTTCTTATTCATGAATAAACGGCAATATGGCTTACTTCAAACTCGGAAAATCATCAAGCAATGTTCTTAGATATCTGACGCTCGACATTTTAATCTCAACCATTTAACTGAAGCTAATTTTCTAGTGTTGTGGAGATGAAAGAAATCTATAAGCGAAAACTTTTATTGCAAATTGTTCCTCCGTTCAACGATACGCAAGTCGGTCATTACACATTAAAATAAAAGCGTTTGAAATGGCAAATACTTTAAAATCCCATTGGTAAAATATTCTATGGAAATTTCCAACGAAGAAGCGTTGTTTTAAGTTATCCTGAAAATAAAATAAGCTATTGTGATGTATTGATTGTTTTGGCTTTGCTACTTCCTTTAACATGATAAAACAGCTAAAATTCACACTTACCGGAACAAAAATTGTCAGAACACATTTCAGTGAAGACGACATTAAACCACAATAACAGACTTTAACGACCACGAGGTGGAAATGGTCTGATGTCTGAGTCTGTTCTATCCACTAACATGTATCCTAGAAGTAAGCATTAATATTTAACAAGTCAATTTCCGGTGTAATCAAAGAAAATACTTTGTTATAATTTCAGTATTTTCTTATATTTCTTTAAAATACTCAGTAAGATTTAAAATATATCTTATTTTTAGAAAAACCACTCTGTATTATCTTCTCAAAATAAATCTAAATGAAACCATATTACTGTAAACGCATGTCCATTTCCGCAGAAACAAATTTTAAAAAGTTAGGGGGGTGGACGGTGTATTCAACGATAAGTTGACCCATTGTTTACATAATTTATGCAGGCTGTCACGTGTAGTAAAACAGACTTGTTGTTACTTGGTATGCAATAAAATTCAAGTGTCTTTGTTAGTCCTGAATTACACCCATTTCCCCCACACTTTCTACGCCTATGTGAACGTTAACACTTCAATGACTTTGTCAGCTGTAACGTCAGTGACAATCTTCAGCAGAGTGACACATTTCCATTGTTTTTTTACTGGAATATGCCAAAGTCAAGACATTTTTTGTTGCTTAAAGTAAAAGTTCTCGTAAACTGCATTGGACTTTTTTTCATTATCAATGTTTACATGCTTACTTCTGGAACTGATATGTAAATTAGGGTGCGTATGTTTCTTCGTTTCCTAATTAACATATCTTAGCAGCCTGTTTTATTTCGTTAATCCACTACAAATAGCTTGGGTTTTGTCATAACGTTTTTATTGTTATGTGGACTGATGAACAGTGGCGTGTTTGCAGGGGGCCATGGCCCCTCCCAGGAAGGATTATATAGGGGCGACAAACGGCAAATTGGGCGCAAAATGTTTGGTTTATCCTGCATTTATAAACAGCAAAAAATAATAGAATTACGTGGAACAGACCAAACGACCATTCCGCAAATCATAGTGAACGCATCTTTTATGTAATCATGTAGTGAAGTACATAACGTTCGTATATTATTTATCTAGATTTATGTAATAGCATTAGAGAAAATAGCAAATCCTACTTTTACACAAACCAGCTACTTAAACCAAGTTTAAACTCCAAGAGTGGAGTTTAAACTCCACTCTTGGATACACAACTAATTTTTTTTCTTCTATATACTGCCTTTTTCCATCTCTTCAGATTTTTAAAAGGCGAAATTGCTTACCAAACAATACACTTTAGTGCTTTATTTTTGCATGCAATTCCCTTTGTCATTTAAGACTTCTATTGACTAAGCGTGATGAGTTACAATTTGAACATTGTTTGAACATAAAAAAAGTCTGCAATCAAGTGAAGTTTCTTTCAAACATATCCGGTGAATTACAATGCACTTATTTTGGCAAAAAATTGGTTCAGGATCCTCTGTTCTGACTTTATCAGTGCGCGAGCTTTAATTATGGAAATTTGATTTTACTGCAAGCGAGATCTGTTCATTTCACGGTTTTTAATCCAGTAAATGAAAATTGACATTAGCATTTTTTTTAATTATGTAGTTGCTGCAATTATTATGCATAATAAAGTATTTAGCATTCACAAAAGCTTAATAAACCAGACAGTTCTACACTTCTGGGACTTTATAGTGTTTAAAGGTTTCGACAGTTTTAAAGCAAAGCAAATTAAAAGTATTATCATTCACTGATTTATATCTCAAATTTATTCCGTCACTGCTCTGTAAAGAAGTCAACATTAAATAAATTATAACAGCCGTAAAAACGTTAATATATTTTTCATAACTTGCCAATAAAGATAGACAAGCACGTGCAACTTTAACCAGGCGGAACAAATAGCTAAAGAAGGCTAAATCATTTCATGCAGATTTCATTTGATGCACACATAATCATTTGTGCGAAATCTGTTTTTCTTTGGAACACACTGCATAATTCTGCTTTTCCAGTAATGTTAATACCATCAATGAAACATATTCCTATGGTTTATGGTAGAAGCTGGCTCATAATTTTGCTCGGCCGCAGAATATAAACATCTGTATACCTAACCGCCTGCTCTATGTACACAGTGTATATTTCATAAACGTTCACAATGTAGCATTACGAAAAGTTAGTTTACTCCAGAAAAGGGAAAATTACAAACAGACAATTAAGCAACAATCTTTTATGCGTGATACTTGACTTTTACCCTCGACACTCAACCATTACATCTGAAGATAATTTCTCAGCGTTGTAAAGTTGAAATAAGTCGAGAAGCGGAAACTTTTGTGCAAAATATTCCACTATTCAACGCAAATAACTCATTATACACATTAAAGTGCCAAGTACAAATCCTATTGAAATATCTTCTCTAAAAATTTCTGACGAGCAAACCGATTTTTTTAAGGTGTCTCGAATATGAAATAAGCTGGTGTTATTTAGTGATTATTTAGGCTTCTCCATTTCTCTTTAAAATGATAAACTGAACAACAAAAATTCACACTTACCCGAAAAAATGTTGTCAGAGCACGTTTCAATGAAGGCGACATTCAACCACAATGGCTCAAAGGCAACTGAATTTAAAGTTTAATCGACGACCACGAGGGTGAAGAACAGAGGAAGTGATCTGAGTCTATTCCATCCCATAATTCTTTGCTTTTCAGGAAAAATATTCTTATATTTCCTGTTATCAGTTAATGGATTTCTTTTACAACCATTTGCAAGATACTCTCCTCTCACGCCGTCGCAACTGCGCATTTTAATCAACATTTAAAAAATTAATCAAAAAGTTATAATTAGTACGGATGTTTGTCATTCAAAATTTATTACTTTGAGTTGACAGCTTTGAGTTTGACAAACTTGTCTTTAGGAAGGCAAAACATGTAATTTTATCGCCGAAACCGAGACGCAAAAGAGAGGTGTCTTGTTTTTAAATTATCAAATTTTTGAGATCATTTCAAATTGCGACCCCTAATTGATACATTCAGGCACGTTTGCATGCTATGTCTATAATCAATAACCATGCATCTTCCATTCGTACGATGTACATCGCGATAAGCTTTTTCGTCAGACAACGAATTATAACGTCAAAACTTTAAGTTACGCAGAGCTTTTACAGTTGTACAATCATCGAAATAAAATTTACAGCCACAGAGTAAAAAGGAAAAATTTCCATTTTTTTGTCTACAAGACTTAATGTTAGAAGAAAGACTGTTCGGATGTCAGAAATAGAAAGAGAAATATAGGATACATAGACATTTGTAGAGGAAAATTAATTTTTCTGGTTTTGTTTTTTTTTATAAGGCTTTGACTATTAGAAATTTCTAAAGCAATTTTTTTTTAATTTTTTCCTGATACACTCTTTATAACTTAATAACATCGTAATAAAGTGAATGTTTTGAGCCATGTTTTGACAAACAACGTTAACACCAACAGTGCTTCTCTGATCTTCATATACACGGACGATCTACAACTACCATTATTTATAAACATCAATACTTTGTATTTTTGTATTGTAAAAAAAGTTTTACGATTGGTGATCGATGTTTTGTGACGAAACTCGTTGATGAGACTACTATCTAAAATTTACGGAATATTGCAAGTTATCTTTGTCTACTAGACTCACGTTCTAAAAGTCTTATAATGAAGCATTCCTTTCGAACTAATGTTAGAGAGAGTTAATCCCTTTTCTTCCTTTAAAGCAAAATTGCAGCTCAAAATGAAAATTAAACATTAGTAAAGGAATATTACATTTCTGTTAATGAATTAAACTTATATACACTATGTCTAGTCATAAAAGAGCGTCTTTCATTTGTATTTTAGTGCATTTGTTTATCAAAAATATTTGATTTTTAATAAATAAATATTTATTATTTCGTGGCAAGCGTCACTTCCGGCTAAATGGTGCGATTTGATTAGCTTAGAAACATTTCTACTGATCCATTACTTTCCTGTAATCAACCACGGTCCAAAACGCATAATTATACAGTCGAGTGTAAACAAACTTCGTAATGCAAACAGCAAAATGCAAACCAAACGAAATAAAAAACCATTTACGAATGTGATTCGAAGGAAAAACCTTTGGAAAACAGTTTAACCATCCAGACGATACAATTTGAAACGATTTATCTTTTATGGACTAAAACTAGAAAAGTGAAAGCCAACCAGTAAAAAAACAGCAAAGACGAGAAAAAGCAAGCTTCGTTTCAAGTTAAATAATGCCATATAATAAATCTTTTAATAACCTCACTTTCTCGGACTTTACTGAGAAATATCAGACCTCTGTCGTTTAGTACAAACCTCGTCCTACGGGCTCGGTCTGTACAAAAGACGTCGGTCCGATATTTCTCCGTAAAGACCTCGCATTCGGTTATTAAGGGGTTAATAATTTAGTTACTAAGTGTTTACGTATTTAAGTGTTTTATAAATTACTTTTATGTAGCTTATATCATTTTAAAAATTTCTACTTCATATGCCCCTGGTGGAAATTAACGTAATTTGATGAGGTAATTAAACGTGTTTGAATAAATACTTCATCTATCTATTCAAATTTGCATAATTTTTACAAAAGAAGTCCAGTTTTCAAACGCAACCACGTGGTAGTTTTAATGAATTTACCACAACATGCTCAGGTCTACAAACAATTGTCAATAGAAGTTTTCGAATACACTCAAGTGTTATGAATTAGCCAAAATATATTCAAGTGCACATGTTTACGAGTTATAACTAATAGAAGTCCAGGTTTTAAGCATCACTGCTGTGATAGAACGCCCAACAGACGATAGTTATTAAATGACATTCTCAAGTACAGTAAGAATAAATATACTTTAACTCTTTTTTTAAACAAAAAGGTATGTTGAGTTTTTCAACATTATTATAAGAGATAAACGCTTTGATTGTGAGTAAACACAATGTTTGTAAATCGTAGACAACAGGCAATTTCCAGAAAAAAACGCGAGGATGAACACTTGTAACTGAAGCAACTTGACACAAATTACCAAAGAACGAGGTCAGACACTCAGTTTTCGGACACTGTCGATCAGGTTCATCAACGCAATCCAACGTAT